ATTGGACAATCGTTTGACCAGGATCGTATAAGATCTCCTTTAGCAGGGGGTTGGATTAGAAGACTTGCAAGATCCCTCCCAACCCAGTGAATCTATAACTTTTAGATCAACCAACCAATCAATCAGTGGAATGACTTGTTGGTTGTGGGCACTTCCTCGCTGGAGGTTTTCAAGAAGAAGGCCCTTGACAGCCATTGGTCCAGAATGGTATGAGTAGGGAGTTGGATTAGATCAGGAGTATCAAACTCGCTGTTGTGGCCCACCAGCAGCCGGACAGTGAGGAGGTTGGGGAGGAACATGGGCCAGTCCTGGAGTCCGGGGAAGGCTCTGTGTCGGAGGCAGAGACGGCCCCAGGGCCGTCTGACAGTTATCAGCTGCCTTTGGAATCAGAGATCAGTGGGGAAGAAGAGCAGCTGGAGCCTGTTCCCAGTGGGTGCATGCGCAGAGCTGCCAGGAGAAGGGAACAGCTAAGGAACAAGGGTCAACTCGGGAGTAAAGCCACAGGTGGACGGTGAATGGCCCCTCCCAGAGGGAATAAAAGAGGAGCAAAAGGGGAGTGGAGTTTTTGCAAGAGACAATTAGTTCATTTGAAAGTCTGTTCCTTCATTCTTGCCAAGTATTGTCTGCTACAGTGTGGCATCTGAAAGATATCAGCCTGGCAACTCTCCAAGCCTGATAAAGGTCTGTAATTGTGACATATCTTGAAAGACTGTCGGCCAGGACTTTGCTGGGGCGGAATTCACTGCAAACTAAATAAAAGGGGTTTATCGGGACGAGGAGTCAGCTTTGTGCTGTTGGGTAAGCCAAGGTCAGAACACTTGCAATGACACATGACGTGTCACAACTTTCTTCCCCCCTTCGCTAAACCAAGGGTGGGCGTGGCCAGCGCATGATGCATATGGCCTGTTGGGTCACGAGTTTGACACCCCTGGACTAGATGATCTCCAAAGTTCCTTCCAAACCTATTGTATCATGTTCTATGTTTTAAACTCCTAACAAAGCCACTCGTTCGTTTCTTCTTATGTCCTTTCCAAATGCTGGAGTCACTCCAGGTAATTATGCTTTGCAACTTAAAAGAACAGGTGAAACAGAATAAACCACTTCTCACTGATTTAAGGGGTTCTCTTCTCCCATTGCTTCAAAACCTAACCATGTGGATGTGGGGTTTTTTTCGCTTGTTAGGTCAGTGTGTCACAAACATAGCAACTTTGAGATGAGCGGACTTCAACTCCCAGAATTCCCCAGCCAGCACATCCCGAAGGTGCTTCTCCAGAACAGAAGAAGCTTCTCGGATGAGAAGCAAAACTTTCTCATTTAAAAAAAATTAACCAGAAAAATTCAGTGGCCTTTTGGAAAAAGCACTTTGGGGACAACCATGACCTGGATGACGAAGAACTTTCGTAGATATCCAGCTAGCACAAGCTGGCAAGGGAATTCTGGAGTTGAAGTTGACCTATCTTAAAGGGGCCGAGGCTGAGGAAACGCTGTGTTGGCCTACATCACAGGCAAAACAACGTTGGGGAAATGTATGCTTGTTGTGTGTGCACCTCCCTAGGTTGTCTGGACTCTCGTCTGTGATCAAAATCTCCGTAGACTTTCAATTCGGTGTCAGATATGAAGTGGCAGATTTTCAGGCAGGATCTTTCAAAGTCATCTTCCGGGACTGTAAAGCTGTGTTTGGAGATATTACCGTCCAAATTCTTAACGTGTGAGTATGCAGGGCTCTTTTGAGGTTTTAATTGGGGGTGGGGGGTGGGCAGAGGGTGGGAGGGTGTCCTTGGTTCATGTTGGACCTGGTTGTTGTCTTTGCAAAGGTTTCATAGCCAAACTAGGGAACATCTTCAGTGCTAGAAGGGAGAGGGGTTGGCAGGAGGGAGGAGGAGGAGGAAGAGGAGGAGGGGAGATTAGGAAGAGAAGGAAGAGGGGGGAGGAAGTGGAGGAGGAGGAGGAGGAAGGAGAATTGTGGGGTCCTTGATGTTCTCTGAGCTTGGCTGTTTCCTTGCAGACATTTCATGACCCAACACAGAAACATCATCAGTGCTAGAGTGGGGTTTGCAGAGAGGAAGAGGAGGAGAAGGGGAGATTAAGAGGAGAAGGAAGAGGGGGGAGGAGAAGGAGGAGGAGGAGGAGGAGGAGGAGGTGGAGGAGGAGGAGGAGGAGGAAGAAGAAGATAAGGACTGTAGGGTCCTTGGAGCTCTCTGAGCTTGGTTGTTCCCTTGCAAACCCAACTAGGTAACATCACCAGTGCTACATCCATTCAACAAGAGTTCAACTCTGGGCTGCAAATGTTCTTTTTTATCAGTGCTTTTTCATTTATTTTTCAGGAATCTTACACCAACAGCCCTTTCCACCATCAAGAACTCAATAATCGGCAGCATCAACCTACAGGTAAGCCCTTCCTCCAACAACAAAGAGTGTAGGAAACCCAACAAGTCAAAAACATCTATAGGGCTTAGGAAGGACTATCATGGTTTGTTTTAATCACCACCATGGGGACGGGGGTTGGACTAGAAGACCTCCAAGGTGCCTTCCAATTTTTTTTTAAATGGGAAGAAGATCAGAGAAAGTCTCTGAAGATGACCAAGGGACTAGCTGTGAGGAGAACATAAGGAGCTGGATATGGAAAAACCAAGGGTTCTTTATCAGTCTAATGTCTTCAAAACAATGTAATTTGGCACACACCCATTTCTGTGTGTTTGTTGTGGTTAGCCGGCAGCAGGTGTGGACGGCTGAGGAGAGCGAGGTTCAGATTCAGGCTGAGCCTGGAATGAGGCAGGCTTAGGGCCTTCCGACACACTGATTCTTCAACTGTCTTGACCCTGCAGATTTGTAACATCCTGAGTGCTGTCTTAAATGTGGCGAGGGATAGGCTGATGGACACAATAAATGGTGAGCTTCCAAGTGCTGTCACCTCGTTGGCGTTCTCCCTGCGATCCATCTCAGAAGTACAATATCCTCCGCTTCCCTTGGTGTAGGGTCTCCTGCTTGGGCGGGGCTGGTGGTTGGGCTAGAACACCTACAGGGTCGCCCACCAACTCTATTTAATCTAAGACTTGTCCCTTGAGTCAGGGAAGGCTGAGATGTTGGCTGTGGATGGTGGTTGGTCAGATGGGTTGGGTTCAGTGGTGGGATTCCACCGGTTTGGCCAAGTTCAGCTGGTCAGTAGCGGCAATGAGCAGTGGAGATGAAATCGGTTCTCTCCACCACTCTGGTGTTGGACCCACCTGCCGGCCTGGACTCCCCTACTCCACTTTATCCTTTTGAAGCGCAGCTGCTTTGCATGGCACCGCAGAGGGCCACATGGCAGCTGCTGAAGTGACTGGGAGAGAGCAGGCTTGCAGGAGGCGAGTTGGAACACCTCTGTGCCTGTGCGAAGTGTGCATTTGGCGCACACGCAAAGTGTGTGCATGCGCTCAAAACACACCCACCAAGCCACGCTCACCAGGGGTGGGATTTGACCAGTTCTCACCTATTTGCTAGAACCAGTTGTTAACCTTCTAAGCAGTTCGGAGAACCGGTTGTTAGAAGAAATTACTGGGCTAATCCTGTAAGGAAGGCAGGAAGGAAACATTCTGGTGTTGCTTGCAGAAACTGCCTCTCCGTTAACCCTTATGACATTCTTGGCAGGACTAGACTTCCTGTCTCAGGAACTTCTCTGGAGTATTTTTCCTCTCCTTTGCTGGTACTTTGCTTGTGTGGAGTGACCATTCAAAGTTACAATGGCACTGAAAAACGTGACTTATGACCGTTTTTCTCACTTACGACTGTTGTAGCATCCCCACAGTCATGAGAAGCCAGGCAAGGAGATGCGTGCCTTGATGTGAGTGATATTGAGTTGGCCACAACCAGCCAGTCACATGACCACCAAGCCACGCCCACCAACACAGCCACACCCACAGAACGGGTTGTTAAAAAAATTTGAATCCCACCTCTGACGCCCACTGAACCGGTGGTAAAACTTTTTGAATGCCACCACTGGTTGGGTTGGAGAGGCAAGGGATGGTATAAGGCCAGGGGTGGGATTCTACTGGGGTAACAACCGGTTTGATGATCGCGCACTCTGCATTTCAAGAAGGTTTTATACTGACTTTCTTTTGCAGTCCCTGTGACTAAAACAGCTGGGGCGCGGCAAATAAAAGGGAATAAAGGACAGGAAAGGGCAGGGGTGGGTAGGTGGGCCCACATGCTCATTGCAGCGAACTGGTTCGCTGCTAGCTGATCTTTGGAGCCAAAGGTCTGAACCAGTAGAATCCCACCCCTGTATAAGGTTCCCAGTGGGAAAGATGAGAGGTGAGAAAGATGAGGAAATGAGAAGATGGAGGTGATGGTGGTTGTTAGGGATACACCCTAGCAAGATCTGCAGGGCAGTCAGGCAGGCAGGCAAAATATGTGAGATAAACGTTTTTGTAGCTTACACTCAGTAAAACAGATACACTGTGCTAGTTAAATAGTTTATTCCAGTAAGAGTTTTAGCTTAGTCAAAACAGTCCATATATCATTCACTTAGTTCAGTCCGTCCAGGGATTATTCAGTTGCAAATTCCAGTGTCGAAAAAGAGAGGTCAGTACACTTACAAATATCAGTCTGGTGATATATCTCCTCGCAGTAGAGAGATATGAAGAACTCAAAAACTCCTCTCTTCTTATCAGCAACTCTTCAGTAGGGCAAAGACGCAGCTAACAAACCATCAATCCAGTAAATTGTCAGTAATTGCCAGGGAATCGTCAGCAATCAATCAGGTTGTCTTGCTCCCTCTTATGGTGGCCTCACACCACACCCAAAATACATGCTTTGCAGTTTTAAAGTGACACACACTTAAACTAACAATGATAGTTTATATATATATTATTTTACCCAAACTACGTTAGGTGACCTTGTTATACCTAACAGTGGTGGTGCTGGTGCTGGTGCTGCTACTGGTGATGATGAGGAGGAGGAGAAAGAGGAAGAGGAGCAGGAGCAGAGGAAGAGAAAAAGGAGACCTGTGGGGTCCTGGATGTTCTCTGGCTTTCTCAAAGACATTTCACGACCCAACTACTTAGCCTCATTAATACTATGGTACAAGAGAAGCGGGTTTGCAGATAGTAGTAATAGTAGGAGTAGTAGTAGAACTGTGGGGTCCTAGGTGCTCTCTGATTTTGGTTGTTTTCTTATAGCCATTTCATGACCCAACTAGGTAACATCCTCAGTGCTAGAAGAGAGTAAAGTCTGCATTCATTTTATGTTCTGGTGGCTGAGGTAGACATCATTCCTGAGCAACTAACATTCTCAGAAAGGCCACACCTGGAGTCCTGCATCCCGTTTTGTGCACCACATTATAAAAAAGAAGTTGAGACTCTAGAAAAAGTGCAGAGAAGAGCAACCAGGATGATGAGGGGACTGGAGGCTCAAACATACAACGAACGGTTGCGGGAACTGGGCCTGGCTAGTCTAGGGAAGAGAAGGACCAGGGGGGACAGGAGAGCATCTTCCAATATTTGAGGGGTTGCCCAAAAGAGGAGGAGGGGGATCAAGCTATTTTCCAAGGCACCTCAAGGCCAGACAAGGAATAATGGATGGAAACTGAAGAAGAAGGGATTCAACCTGGAAATAAGGAGAATCTTTCTGACAGGGAGAACCATCAACCCACGGAACAGAAGTTGCCCTTGGAAGTTGTGGGAGCTTCATCCCCTGGAGGCTTTCAAGAAGCGATTGGACTGCCATTTGTCAGAAATGGTGTAGGGTCTCCCGCTTGGGTGGGGGTTTGGACTAGATAAGGTCTCTTCCAATTCTGATTATCTGTTATCTGTTCTCTTCTATGGGTTCCTGATTTTTCCCACAGTGGTCATCCCCTTTGAGCCCTTGGGGAGCTTGAGGTGTCAACTGGCCAGCTTGCCTGATGTAGACAATAGCATCATCTGGTTACATCTCTTTGTAAGTAGCCCCTCCCCCTCCAAATAAACCTTGCCTTTGGTGTGGGTCCTTGCGGGGGTGGGTGGGGGTGTCTCTCCTGCAACCCCCACCCTCTGTTCTTGCCACTGTGTGTCAGCCACAGAAGCCATATATTACTTAAAAGCTTTGAGACCGCCACAGTTAGTGCCTGAGAACTTGGGAGGGGAGATTTCTTAGTGAGTAAAAGATTAGACTCAACAACATCCTTTCTTATACGTCAAGGATGTGCTGCCCTGCACCTGGAAAGCAGTGTCTGGTGGAATGGCTCCAGTTGGGGTGGAGATTGGATTGGGCCATGTGGTGGACTGATGGGTGCAGGATATGGATCTTTGAATTTTTCTTGTGCCAATATGACTGTCAGGGTTCCGAGGATTGCCCTAACTAAATCATGAGCCTTGAGCCAAGCTTCAAAAGAATTCTGAAGATTTATTAGGAGCAACACGCCGGCTGCCAAGGCTCCAACCTGCCCCATTCACCCCCATTCAAATCACAAGTCTCTAGCCACATCTCTCAGCATAAAAAAAAAAAAATTGATTTATTAGGAGTTAACATGTCGGCGTTTCCTGGTTGCAGCCGACACTAAGATACACCATTCATTTCCCCCTTGATCCTGGTCTTCCCCCCACCCCCTGGATGTATATTCTCCAATGGGACACGTCCATAGCCAAGAGTCATCCAACGTGCTCTCAAATAATATTCTTGCGTGTCAACAGCCAAAGCGATTATCTGAAGCATTTAAGGAATGCACTTATTTTCCCCGCTCCCTTATCTGCTGGCAACTAAAAAAAACCAAAGGAATTTTTTTTTAGTTGACACAGGCATTAACCTAAATTAAGCCAACTCTGGCATATGTAATTCACAGTCATTTGTGACCCCGTTTCCCCCCCCCTCCCCTCCCCCGGGTGTCTTATAAATCAGATTCTCCAATGAAACACATTCAGGGCTGGGTGTCATCAATCACATTCTCCAATGAAGGATTTTCCTGGGCAGAAGATCCGGTAGCCCAGCTACAATCTTTGTAAGATAAGTGTGGAATGTAATTCTGGTTTTAATTGCTATATTGCTCTTTTAGATTCCCCCCCCCATTGTTTATGGCAACTCAAAAACAGGCATAGGAGTGTTTTACGAGTTGACAACAGCTTCTTCAATAAATTCTTACTTGGGTGAAGTTTGTTTCTGAGTGTTGAATGGAAACGGGGAGTTTCATCGGAACGCTGACCCCAGGAAGGTCTCCTCTGGCTTCTTCCTAGGTTGACTTTGACATCAGGGGCCAAGGACTCCTCTCCATCCCTGATTCAACCCCCGATCTAGTGCTACCCCCGCTGGACAAATATCGCCATTGCCAGTGTGTCCATGCCGCCATACTCGACATCTTCCTTTCGCTGGTCCTCAGAATACAACCTCAGGAGTTCAGCTGCACGCCCAACGTGGTAAGGAAACGAAGACCTGGACTTCCCAAGTTGGAAGCTCTTCAGTTTTTATTTATTTTCTCCAGCGATGCGTTCTTTTCAAAGGTCCTTTCCATCGACCCATAGAAATGGATCTTTGTTTATTTGAAGTAAAAAAAATTAAAAAAGTAAATGCTAAATGAAGGTGTGCTTTCACCTCCCTGTATGGATCGGTATTTCCTGAAGGGGTAGGTATTCGTGCTCCATGTAGCGATAGTAGAAGATACTAGGCGGAGTATGTTGGAGTGTTTTCATGATGTAAGAAATGTGGACGTTTCTAACCTTAATGACAATGTCTCTGCTGTATTATTTGTTGAGAAGGAAAAGGAAAAAAGGAGAAGAAAAAAAAAAGAAGCCATTCCTAAAAATAATATGGGTAACATATTTAATTTTTGACCTTCCCGATGTCTTTGATTTCCAATTTGCAGCAAAAAGATACATTGTGTAGTTAGAAGAACCTTTCAGTATTAATTCTGTATTAATGCATCAATATGACTGAGTG